TATAAAAAATAAAAACACTAAAAAATACAGCTTAGAGAAGCATTCACTCCCCTAAGACCTTAAGTATTCAATATTTGGTTGTTCCCCATTTTGCCAAAATTACAGCCTCGTGTCTTTTATGGTACTGTATGTTGCAACCTGCTTTTCACATCTTGCAGGTTTAATTTTCACCACCTCTTCCTTACAAAATTGCTCTAGCTGTTGCAGGTTGCAGGTTCTTTGGGATTTAAGTTTGGATTTTGACTTGGACACCCAAGTAATTAACCACTTAAATTGCACACATGTGGATTTCAATCAACATATCGTGCAAATTCTGTTTGAAATTAAGTAGGTCTTCTTAAGGAGTGTTGTGTTAAAGTGGTGAATACTTTTCCAACAGCGATTTTAAGGGTTTTATTTTTAACTAATTCGTTTTTTAGTTCCAAACCAGATCTAAGCAATTCAGTCAGTCTCACAAGTAGATCCCAGGGAGACAGAATACAAAAATGAAATAAAGGCACCCTCCTTTCCTATCTTGTAGTAGATAGAAAAAAAAATCTTGACTGAACACTTCATATTTCTGAAAGACAGATTTTAAATAACCTCAATCCTCTTAGTTAGTGAAAAGCTCCATGGGACACTGTCAGAAGCTTAATGCATTTATGCATTTAATTTAAAAATGCATTTAAATTACATGGCCATGTTAGGAGGATTACAAAATTAGAACTTTTGATCAAATTCCTTAATTTGAGCCCTATATTACATATATCACTAACTGGGTTATAGGGCACTGTCATTAGCCATCTTTAAATAAAATTTCCCAAGTAGCAGTATACAATTGAATGAATACTACAGAGGTTGAGTGAGCTTCAGGTGGCCATAGTATGCTGAAAATCACCAAACCTTGTGAGTTACTACAGTATGTGCAATGAGCTTGTGATAACGTCAGTCAGAGGCAGAGCAAAGCTAGCTGTGAGTAAAAGGGACAAGCAGCACATTATTGAACATGCTAGAGAAGAGCCTTCACAGTCCTTAAGTCCAAAGAACTGGAGCAGTGAGCAGGAGTGATAGCCACAAGCTACATACTGTACTGTATATTATCTTTTGCAGATTCCAAAATTATGGGATACTATACAAAGAAAAATCAAATGGTGAGTGAGAAAAATAAAGATTCAGTCAATAAATGCTCTATATGGTCTTTATGTTTTCCATGCATTTTATTATAAAAGAACCTGTGCATATGTATGTGTAATTTGAAATACAGTATGAATAAAAAGAGAAAACAGACTCTTCCAAGAAAATACAGCTATAAAAGGTTTCAGCAAAAGTTTCCATTTTAAACATTTACAATAACACAGGATAGACGTTATTATCAACAATTTGCTGCATATACATTTGAGATGGATTATGGCGCGAGTTCTCCTATTCCTAAAACAATCTTCATATCTCTTTCATTAAAACCTTCCACATCTGAACATTTGATCTATCTGGCTTCAATCAGTTTTTAGTCATTTCCTTAAGGGTGCTGGAGTCCAAGTTAAAAAACCTTAAAATTATTCTTTATTCTAATAAATAAACCCTTTGACATAATAAACTCCCACTCAATAAAATAGATTCCATCAGTATGGGGATTTGTATGGACTTTTCTAATAATGTATTCTTGCATTTAAACAACACTTTTGAAACCAAGGTACATTTAGGGGCGGGCCCACTTCATTTACCACTGAAGTGCTTCACCCATCTTCATGATGAGTGGCAGCTCTTATGTGCCAGCTTGCCCTCTACACCTCAGTTCATGTAAAGAAGTAAAAAAAGGTATTCATCTTTTTAATAAAGTGGGAACTTAGGGCAGATTTTGGTTATGAGAATAATCTTTTCAGATAAGAGTTTAGCTTAGGGAGTGCTGTAAAATCAGCAAGGGATGAGTGAAAAAAGACTGAGAAAAAAAGGATGTCTACCAGACATTTATAACTGGCTAGCAAACATTTATCTGGCCTGTGTGCCTGAGAAGGTCAAACCAAACTAAATTCAAATGATTAATATAAACTGTTTAATGAAGTTAGTTTGGAGAGCTGTATCAATGTAACTTGAGGTTAACTCCATAGTGAAAAATTAAAAAAAAAAGATGGACACAACAGTTTTGCTATGGAATGCGAATGTGTGTGGGGAAATGAGCACAGCAGGAACATGAGGGTAAGGATAAGAAAAGAAAGACAATGTGAGAATGGATATAGGAGGGTAAGAAAGACATGGGAGACCTGGGAGACACAGTACAGGGTAAGTGTGGAACGCAGAAATGTGTAGTTGGGAAAGATTTTAGAAAATAATTTCGGTCATTGAGAGCTGGGGTAAAGTGTGAACCTGGTGTAAGGATGAAAATGTCTGGCTTTAAGAAGTAGGAGTCTTTGAATCCCTTTGTGAGCACACAGACAGAAATATACTGCCCCTTTACTGTCCCCTGTGACAATGTACATGGCCCAGAAATCACTCCAGTGCAACATACAGTATGATGGGAGGCGAAGGGATGCTTGGGCAGTAGCATTTGGTGGCTAGTGTGCGAAAAATTAGCCATGCCTTTACCTTGGAAACAGGCTGGGTTAGTGTGCAGGAGGTGCTAAAGAACGGGCATAGGAGCATGGACCAGGTGAGGTTTTGGCTACCAGAGTTTGGCAGAGGAGCTGTGCACTCAGGGAGAAGGTAAGCGTTCTCTAGAACTTCTTCGGTTTCCTCAACAAGTTCAGAAAGTTGGTGAATCCTTGGGAGATTAAGGGCTTTTGTTCCTGTAGTGCTTGCAAGTTTGACCCCTCTTGAGTTGATGTCCTCGGAGTCTATTGAGTTGTCAAATGAAGGTTCTCAGAGGGGCTTCACTGGGTCCCAGAGTCTCAAGATATCTCAAATTCAGGACCTCAATTTGAGACCCTTAATTTCGTGGAGTGCCAGACATCGGAGAAACTGAAGAGAAAACCTAATAAAACTAAAATAAGACTGTGAAAGTTAAACAAATAAGGCAAAACAAAAGAGATGTACCGTATTCCTTCAACCCAGGAAAGCAGTGATCCAGCTCTCACCAGATCAGCTGATGTGAGTCTAGTAGAGCTGAAGAAGGACAAAATAGATTATAAGAGATGTTAAAAATCGGAGGAGAGTGTTTGGCTTATCTAGCCCATTTAGGGATTGGCTTCAACAATATGGCTGAGTACAACATCTTGGGTAAAGGAATGTTTCAATGTTTATTCTGAAGTAGTCCGTTGGGTTGCTTTTTTTTTTTTTTGCCCCTGAGGATTTTGAAGGATGCTTACATATACTTGTTTACTTGTTTTTGAAGACCTCTTTCAAATAGTGCTATAGTACAGCACTAACGTAGTACAACTTATTTGTAACCATATTGAGGATTCTACATCATTACTATCTAAAATTGCTTTAAAAAGACAAATCATTTTGTTCTTAATATTGCACAAAAATATCCAATTTACAATTAGTAAATTAAAATACATTGTAGTAAAGCTATGTATTGGAGCATCATGATCTGTTATCCAATATTGAAATTGACTTTACATTTAACTAACCGAAATTCATGTAATGTATTCGTACTTGTATATTTGTAAAAATATTCTCATATAATGGCCAGTTTTGGGTGATTTTTAAGGTGAGAGAACTGAAAGTAAAGCCATAAAAAATGTTGTGTTTGTAAATGTTTGAATTCTATATACTGAATGCCTTGGTGAGCATCACCTAAGATTTTCAGAATTATTTAAATAAGGTTAGAACACAATTTGAGCCCATTTTAAAAATTTGATTTGTTGTCTGCATTCAAAATCTGTTCTTTATTTCTTGCAGATTTCCTTCTAGAAAATTAAAAATAAATTATTGTAATATTTTATTACAATATTGTGTCTTTCCCTGAAGCCGTGTTCTTTACTTAAAGGCTTCCCATTTAAAAGAAATTGTCACTAACCTGCTGCTTTGTTGCAGATTTTCACATGACTTTTTTCACTTGAGATTCTTCAAAGCACTTGTGAATGGACTGCTAATAAACACGCACGACTATAGTCCTTCCCTATCTTTGTGTCGATTTTAGTGTTTGTGATTTAGTGATCGTGTCCATTTTAGTGTTATTTTTCTGTTCTATAGTCTAAGAAAATGAAACTCCACGTGAGGTGAAATTGAGACTCAAGACAAATAGTTTTGGACTTCTAAAATATGCCAATTAATTTTGGTAAAAAAAGTTATTTCCGTTTTGGGAAATGTTTGTCAGAGGTTGCTACTTTGTGGGGGCGTTTTTCTTAAAAAAGTGCACAGTTTGTGTGTGTGCTTCGACTTTGATAATTTTATAGAAAATGACATGAAGTACGATGTCTGCTAACACTGTTCACTTTTATACATAAGATTGTGTATGAACCCTCGTACAAAGTCTACATACAGTATATGAGTAATAATTGTGTCTTTCTCGGATGCGGTTTATCTTCACAGGTTAGATACAGTACGCACACGTTTTAAAGTCCTCTGATTAAAATTCATGGTTCAATGGAGTTGATACTGTATGATCATACTGTATGATTTCTACAGTAACTGTACTATACACGCGAACGCAACTGTTTAACGATTAAAAACTAAGTGCAGGTAATGCACTTGTTAAATGATTTGATGCAGGATGAAATACCAATACATAAAGCGTTCAATGTTTAAAAGTTTACCTTTACTATCAAAACACATAATAAAATGTACTCTAGTCTAGTTACCTGAGCTCCCTAGCACTTGAACTACCCAATCTAATTAATTGACTCATTCCACTGGCTGAGGCTGAAGCAGTGGCTCGGAGTCCAGATGATCGCCAAGACAGAGACTACAATAAGGAGCATCCAAACACGGAGTGTCAGACAAGTTCAAAATATGCGTGAGATAGCAATTCTTAGCCTTGTACAGCATAAGCAGTATCCGAAATACTACGGAGAATACTTTTGAAATTGCAACACCGAATTACTCGTACCTTAAACTCTAAACATAAAACCTTGTCGCTACAGGTGTTTAATTTGTATTCAATTCACGCTTGATTATTTTAATCAAAGTGGTATTAAAAAACGGAAAAATGAAAAATTTGTCATCTTCTAATTCTCTTCATAACAGCGACATTTTAAGCGATAACATTTTTCAGCATGGATTTACAACGACAGCTAATAACTCTGGAATATCTAGCAGACCCGAGCGAGATCAACAATTAGCCTGGATTGAAATTGCGGTTCTTGGAATTATTTTCTTTACCGCCTCAATCGGCAATTCGGTTCTTGTTATGGTGCTCTGGAGGAAAAGAAAAAGGATGTCTAGGATGTACGTTTTCATGATGCACCTCAGTATTGCTGATTTGGTAGTGGCAGGCTTTCAGGTTCTTCCTCAGCTTATCTGGGACATAACGGACATCTTTCTGGGACCCGATTTTCTGTGCAGAGTCGTCAAATACTTGCAACTCGTCGGGATGTTTGCTTCGACATACATGACTGTTGCAATGACTGTTGACAGGTTTCAAGCAGTTTGTTACCCAATGGTGACTTTCCAGAAGAAAAGGGCTTTCTGGAATGCAGCTATTTGTTCTAGCTGGTGTATAGCTTTTATTTTTAGCCTGCCACAAGTGTTCATATTCTCTAAAACGGAAATCTCTCCTGGAGTCAATGAATGCTGGGCTCAATTCATAACTCCCTGGGGTTTAGAGGCTTACGTTACATGGGTATTCACAGTTATATTCTTTATTCCCACTATTATACTCATTATTTGTCAAGTTCAGATATGCCGAATACTTCAAATGAACATACACGCCAAAACGCACGGGGATATACTCAGACATAACCAGATGCAGGTGATTCCTTCCAGAGCTAGCAATTTCAACTGTTTCTCCAAAGCAATGATCAAAACGGTAAAGATGACGATTATAACTGTAGTGGTGTATATTCTCTGTTGGGCTCCTTTCTTCGTTGTGCAACTGTGGTCTGTTTGGTTTCCAAGCGCAATAACAGAAGGTGAGTTACATATTTTAAGCACACTCGGGAATCTTATTTTTTAAATGAACAAGTACTGTAGTAGTTAATTACATTCATGAAAGTAGGACGAAATGCTCGTTATTCTCCCATTGTCTTTTAAGAATTAACTTCTACTTTTTGCAGTCCGTGATCTGTCGAAACTCCTCAGTCTTACCTTCAGCAGTATACAGTAATATGACAGGTAGTTTACACAGATCGTCAGATCACAGATTTATAATGAATACAGGGAAAAACAGTTAAAAATGATAAATAACGTTTTTGTTACGTCAACTTGATACTTCTGCACCAAATAAAAACGACAAATCTCGTATTTTGAGATAAAGGTTTTTCAGATGTAGGTACAGTCTAAAATGATGCCTTGAGCTCTTTACACTTTGCGCACCGCTGACGACCACAGGTAGGGTAAGAATTTCTGACAGCTGTGAAAATCGATGTTTTGTCTGCAAGAGCTACATGATTTATCGTTTTCGTGCTGAGACATTAATCGTTAATAAACATCCGTCTCTCCTCGGGGGATGGTGTTTAAATCGTGTTCATGATTTCCAAACGCGTTTAGTGTAGAACAAATGTTTTTTTTTTCCTGCACAGCTAAATGTTAGCATAGACCTTAAAACATTCAACCATCGCATTAACAAGGCTGAACTAAACATACAAATACAGCACACAAACAATTTCCTGGCTATTTAATTTAATCAAGCTAGAATTAAGCTATGTAATTTACACTTCTCTGCACTAAATGAGTCAGTGGTGTGAGTCATTTCTTTGGAGAGATGAACTGTGCATTTCTGCACCTTGGAAAATCAGCCAGTGCCACACAGTTTGTAGTATAATTTTGCACGCGAACTGGGTTTCACGATTTCTTTATTGTTGGGTTTATAATTACGTGTCTTACTATCCTTATTTTCAGGTATTTAATTTAATAAAATAATACGTTTTGGAAACAAAAATAATGCTTAAATCGCGAATTACCCGCTTTAAAATGAGAAAAAAATGTACAGACACTATTATTTTTACGTAATGTCAGTACAACCTATTTTAATCTAGTGGCAATACATGTTTTTAATTTTATCATGGGTGTTACACTCATTTGCCATAGCGGGGAAGATTTGATATGCTTGTGCAGGTTTACTTCGGCAAATTCATAGTTCAAGTTCCCGAAAACTCCCGCAGGTTATAAATACAGTACTTTAGCATACTGGAAATAAGGAGGTACCCTCTGCCATAGCGCACTCATCAGACTTTTCCATCAAAAATGACGAATGCTATTATGTTAATTATAATTAAACATATGAAAATGATCAAAGATGATAATAGTACATTTTCATATTATTTACCTCAAAACCTGGGTCTTACGAATAGCAAAATAATGTAATGTACTGTATGTTAGAAAGCACTGAAATCAAGCATTGCTACCTCCTTGCTCTGGGGCCTGAGCATGGGATGCTATCTGCATGGAGTTTGTATGGTCTCCGTGTGTTCACATGGGTTTTCTCCTGGTGGGCTGGTTTCCTCCCATAGTATAAAGACATACTGGTAGATTAACTGACTTCTGGGAAAACTGGCCCAGCTGTGAGTGTGTGCATGTTTGTGTCTGTGTGTGTCGTGTGATGGACTGGCGTCCTGTCCATGGTGTATTCTGCCTTGAGCCCATTGCTTGCCAGGATAGGCTTCAGCTATCCTGAGACCCTGCATTGGATAAGGCAGTTAGAAAACAGATGGATTGATGAAATCAACTGTGCATGCTAATGTGAAAAATATGCAACTGAATGCCTAAATGGGGGAGAGCTGAGTGGTGCATGAAGGTGATTTGTGAGGGAGTCAAAACGACCACAGAATCTCTTTGACTTAATGGAAAAACCATGTGTGTATTAAAAGTATATCACCAAAGGTTTCCTATGGTTGGGAAGACTGGTAATCAATATTGAAACTGTGCATGAGCAGATTACTAGGTCGGTTAATGTGCAGTTGACAAGAGAGGCAACATACCTCCGTTCCTCAGGCCAGACATACATACCCTAAATGATCAAAATACTAGACAGAACCTAGGCAGCATTTGTTATAGCTACAATGAAGCATTTAATACTTGCTTTTTCTTTTACAAGGCTGGTTTCCTGAACAGGTCATAAGCTTTTACATGTAAAATGTTTACATGTAAAAATGTCAAGTTACAAGAAATTAATGTTCCCAATGCAAAGTTTTGCATTTTTTAACAATTTTAGAGGAGTGAATTGCCTTTTAAACCTAAGGATGGGTGTATACTGTATGTCTATCAATTGATAAACTGCAGAATTGAAATGTGTATTGAAGTTACAACAGTGACAAAGCACACCTATAGCAGCTGACTACACTGGTACTGGGACTCTTCTGGCAGATCCCCCTGAGCCACCAGTGCAACCACAGAAAACACAAGAAAGTAGTTTACATATTAGCTTTACTTTTATACGTGTAGTTGCAATAAGGCAAGTATCATCGGATACATGGAAAAAATATTTATTAAATTTCCGAAGTTACCAGAGGAAAAAGAACAAATATCTAAAGGAGTGCTCTTTGTATGCTGCAGTGTCCCAGCTCTCTCTATCATACTGTATGTACAGTTATACAAAAAATAACTTCCGAAGAGCACTACTTTCCTGAACTGGACATACTTAAACCAAAAAATCAGGGACAAACATCTGCTCTGCTCCAGGTGTCTCTGTTGTGCTGGTGCCTCTGTACTCCCATGAGTACTTACTCATCTCAGTCCACCTATCCAGGCATGCATCCTTCTGCCATAGTGAAAAAAGAAGAAAAAAAAACTCTGCAGTATTTTGGTTTCTAGCTTTCTCTTCAGGCCCAATAAAACCTATGTAACAATATTCCATTTTACTTCCACTGCCCTGGCTTAACGCAACAAAACAGGGCAGAGAAAGAGAGAGTGCTCAAGCCCCTGTAATGTACCTCTACTGTTCAGGAATTTTATATTGCCAGAACACCAAGGCTGGTATGAAGATTATGAATGTCCAGGTGATCACAGGGGAGAAGCAGACACCACAGTGGCTATTTGTGGACCACATTTTGTATGCAGATTGCCAGGTGTTATAGTCTTTCCTTCTTCTGTTTTTTATTTTGTTTCCGCCTCTCTGTTTCAGGTCCAGTCCCCACTGCTTCAGCACCTTCACACACCCCACATGCCACATCTGACTGCATGGCAATTGACTGATGTCTAGTCAAACTGGACAGGTCAATCACTTAGATGAAGATTGCTGTCCGCTGTATTGTTCATGAAAGGGCAGCAGGAAGACCTTTAAAATAGAGTGAATCAGACACAAAAGAAAAAAAACACCATACCCAACAAAACACTGGCAATTTTGTGCCAAATTCAAGTAAATATAGCCCCCCAAGTCATTGCCCTTCTTCCATTTTTGTCATTCCATGACATAATAGGGACTCCTCTGTAGTGATAAGTGTTACTTTATTTATTATGTGTTCAGTAGAGGATTTAATGTTTATAACTTGGGCATAGAATTGGTAGCTCCGATGAGTTAAAGGGATGTCTACTGACAAAAAACAAAATGCATTTTGAGCAAGAAAAAGAGCAAAAGTTCACATTTTTGCATTTTACACTAGTGCTTTTTGGTAGCTTTCTCAAAAATACAAAATAATAATGATGACAGGCATGAGTACTGGAATCAAGATATTTATATTTCGGTGGGCTAGATTACAGTTTGATCTCCTTCTGAACTTTAATTTAAAACTCCCTTTCAGTAGTTTGGCAAAATCTGAATTAAGATTAAGTAAAGATGTAATTTGAATTAGGCTTACCCCAAGTGTCTAAAGGAATGACAACATCTCCATAAGGCTATCAGAACCCCCTTATAAAGCAAATGGGATCACATTATGCCAGTGCAAAATTCTTAACTTGCTAAAAATTAAACTGAACTTATCTTGGTTAGTGGTTGGATCCAATGGTGTGGATCCAATAGGAGAATACTACCCCAGTCCAAAGTGATTAGCCAGAAAAGTGTTTGGCACTGAAGACAGTATTTGTTAGTGCATCTCAGATTGTGGTACTGGAACTTCAGAAAGAAATAGTCCTTGCAGGGTTGGGTCACTAAAAGGAGTGTGGCAGCACTTTCAAAGTGTAAATTTGCAATTTGATAAAAATGTGATGGTAAGGGGAAGGTGTTTGGATGACAGAGGTGTTTCTGCCTTTTGAAGTCTTATGAGGAGAAAACTAATTCTATGAGGACAGGTAAGGAATTTCCACTTAATTAAGCTTTAAATGAAAGTCTGGGAGAAGGTCAAACCCCAATCTCACTCACTTATACTACCAGCCTACCGTACATATAAATACTGTAGCCTATAGACCTAAAGTTACATGGCTGATGTGTTCTCGGCTCAGGGGAAGTGTACAAGAAGATTGAGAGCATCGTGAGGGGTTAATGGGAAATGGCTCGATGCCCTAAGAGTAAGAATGGTGAATGTGAGGCTGGACTGGGTGTGTAGAAACAAAGCCAGGTAAAAGAGCTGTTGAAGGGAAGATGTTTGCTGCCAAGGCAGTGAGCAGGTGGATTGTTGACCACGGTGGAGGACAGGTGAGCAGCCATGATAGAAGAAAGAGAAGAGGTGAAAGTGCAATAGGAAAATGGTTTTGGAACTAGAATCATTGTGGGTAGGATTCCAGGCATTAATGAGGGGGCAGAAGGAGTGGACGGGTGAAGGGATAAGAGAGAATAAGAGTGAACCAAGTAAAGAAGGCAAAGGGCTCATTGAAAGTGATAGAAGTACTGTAGCTGATGAAAGGTCCATGGATGAAATGATGGGACAGGCTGGAGGAACTGCCTTGAGCTGGGTGTCATAGCTGGTCAACTGGAAGACAAAAGGCAAAGTGGAGCTGCTGTCTGGAAGGGTATCCACAGATTGATGGCTAGTGGAACCATGGAGAAACTGGTATGGTTAATGTATCAAGAGAGACAAAGTTCAGATTGTGGGGGTCAGCTGCCAGAGCAGTGGACAGTAAGCGGAGTGATGGTGCAGACTAACACTTACAGGTACTTACAGGGATGCTTGTGGAGCTGGGAAGACAAAGGGCTAGTAATTTAGTAAACGATGTGTGGTGTGAGGTCTGACTGAGGGGTACCAGTACCCAGGAGAAGTGTGTGAATTTGATTTCTTTCAGAAATACTTTTGGTACTTATACGTACTGTAGGTGAACGGAAGTCAGTAAGGATAGGGTGAAATCTTCTTCTGTACTTTAATGACACAGAAAATCAGAAAGGAAGCAACACAGCCTTTTAAAAGTTAAAACCCTGTATTGGAATTTTAAGAGATATCTATCCTCAAAAACTATTTGACTTTTTAATTTAGTCTGTGTCAATGTATTTCTTAAGTTGATAGACTGTATAAAGAAAAAAGTTTGAAATAATGTGTTTTATGCTGTAATATTTGGTAGAAACTCTTTGTCCAAATCTGTGTTCTAGAAATTCTGAACCTGTTCATATATTCACAATAAGCCTCATTTTAACATTAATAAATAGTTTAGAAAAAATCAATTCCTAACATTACATCGTCTCCATGATTTTATATTGTTAACACAATGAGAAAAGTATGCATTTCTGAAAGAAGGTGCAAAAGGTACATGGGACAGGGCTTTTCTTGTTGATGACAAACCACATATTGTGCACTGACTCCCACCCCTGTCAGTTTCAGTAAAGCAAAGACACATTTATGCATGTTCTTATTTAATTACCTGTGCATTATGTCCTGTACTACCAGTTCCAAATGATTGAACTAGGCTATGCATACTGTATATACTGAAATTATGAAAATAAAAAACAAATTCTTTTTATACATGTATGTTTTTAGAAAACAGAATATATAGATATTGGATATAAATTCATGTTTTTACCATGTTGTCATCAGTTTTGATGAAATAATGATTCATTGCTCACCATGATAAAGAATTTCTATATAACTTGTAAGTGTGTATTTGCTTTTTTATGGAAATTGAATGTGAATTTAGGAAACACATTTTTATTATTCCAGGTTCTGTGTTTACAATCATCATGCTCCTGGGAAATCTTAACAGCTGTGCGAATCCTTGGATTTACATGTATTTCTGTGGCCACATACCATGTTGCAAAAAGCACCAAGGCAGCAGCTCAATCCGGGAAGATTCTGTGATAACTGCCAGCATCCACATCGGAGACAAAGGCCCTACAGACCATTCCACATCGCTGTAGACATTTCTGGTGTGGTGTGCCTTACTGTGTCATCAGGAAATCTTTCACCCAGTGAGGCCCACAGCCTATGCTGCAGGCTCTGTGGGGCTCACTCTGTGAAAAATCGCAGATGCCTCTAACAAGTGCACGTTTTTTGTAAGTTTGAACATTATAGCATTAAACCCAATTCGCTTAGCATCTGGCAATTCCAGACAATAGATATAAAAAATAAGTAACTGGCTAGTCCTATTGGTTTCAAACATGGCTGTAATATTGCTGATTTTAATTCATTTTTAAGAGTGGGTATGAAATTACTGACAATGTAATTAGTTAATTGTTTTAATTGGAAAAATAATTACAAATTGGAAACAGAATCTGTTAGAGGTATGAAATATACACACTACAGTACTACAATTCAGTTTCAGAATACTAGTTTAGGTTGTATTTTTCAAATTTCAGATAAAATCATTCTAAATGTTTTTCTAAAGTACAGTGTTCTGCAGATCTAGTATATTAAAGTAGTCTACTTAAGTTTGCAAAAATAGAAAATAACTAAAAGTACCTACAGTAGTTTGTAACATAGTGCAAGTATGTTACTCCAGACTTATTTACAAAAATGCAAGGTGATGGGTCTTTGTTATTAAGAAAGTCCCAGTGAATACATTTTTGAGGTTTAGTTATTATTCTTTTGAAGATGATGTTGAGAGGTAGCGTGCTGTTTCACTGTACAGTATGTTTCTTTTACACTAAATACATTGTTGGCTCTCCATACAGTACTGTATATATGTATTATAAACCTTGTGAATTTGTTGTATCACTGTTTTATTGCAGATGTAAATGGCATTATATTGAAATATGACATTGTTAGACATGTTTTAAAATGAAATTATTTCATTTCTGCCAGTGATTTACAGTTATGTTTTGCACTTTGTGATGTGAATTGAGAAAAAAGTGTCACACTAAGAAAGCTTGCAGGTGTACTATATTTGAATAATATCGCTCTACATTTTTGCTGTAACCTTTTTGGAAATGTTTTGCATTTTGTTGTTTCACAGTGATCTGCCACATATATATTTTAGCTTTTAATGTCCAGTTTTAAATGCCTTGATATAACATCTGTCTGGATTACAATGACATTGGCCTTCATTAAAGCTGTTTGTACTCCTGTAATTCTTAAGCTGTACAAATACCTTCAGAATGTTAACAAAATAGTGAAAACAATGTATAAAATGACACATATTGTAACTTATTTTGTTTAGCTTTTCTTATGGGCATGGAAAATGTGTGAAAAAGACCGTATTCATTGCTATAAAAATAACAAAAACCTGACATAAATATCTGCTTTTGATTTAATCTAAAATGCATGATCTGGAAAACTAATTTTTAGTATTCATTATTCACATATTGTGAATGTGGAAACACATTTTTTATTGATATATCATTAGTAAAGCAAAAATATTTTTGCTACAACTTTGTGTGTGGACAGCCTATGTGAAACTGCAAAACAAATGAAATACTGTAACATAGCAAATTATCCTAAAATAAGCTATTAATTCATTATAGAAGTCTTTTCTGTTTTATCTTTGTATAATCATTAAAACAGTCCCTTTGTTACATACCAAAAGATCAAGATAATTTGAATTAAATGAAAACATCTAATGTATTATAATTCTAAAACCTGAAATGTTTCTGCTTAAATTTGTATGTTTCCAGCTGCGCTGCCTGTAATGTTCTACTCATCTCCATGTTTTACAATATAAGGTGGATGTACTGTATAAGACAAGTATAGATTATTATTCACACAGTGAAAAATTCAGTATTTCAATAGCTGATAAAATAAAGTTTACCAAGGCAATGCTGTCACTTTCAGCAATCTATCTGTTCTTTTGAAATCTTGCTTATTATTGAAATTCCACTTG